TGGGGAGGTGGTTAGGGATTGCTATGGTGATGGGAGGCAGGGTAGCATATAAAGGTATTGGGGAATGTGGCAAGTGGAAAGGAAGCATTTAGTTTGTATCAGCATGGCCCAAAGCACTCTTGGAGATGGGATTTAGCATTTTATTGCCTGTGTCTGTGTTTCTCACAGGCACCCTGAGGCCAGTAAAGTCTCTAAATGTTTTGCCAGCTAGACTGGTCTTTGCCTTCAGGATGTGATTCTGTTGACTCTGGGGACAACCATTCCTGATGAGGTGGTTCCATATTGGAACAGGGTTATTGAAGGGAGAAGAAAGAGGGGTGGGTGCCCTGCCTGGGGCCTGGGACTGAGCCAAGGCTGGAGGAGTCTGATTCTTCAGGGATCTTCCTGGTGGGGGATTACTGCCCCCTCAAAGCTGGTCTGCTGACTTCTTCTCCCTCTCGTCTGGCCTCTTCCACCCACTGCATCAGCTCCTCCCCTCCTGGCCTTTTGCCTCTTGGTCTGTCTCTCTCTCTCTCTATCAGTTGATGTGTCCCTGGGCCTACCACAGCATGGTGAGGCAGAGGAAAAGATGGCGAAGGGCGGGGCAGCGCAGCAGCTCCAGGGCCGAGGCCTGGCCTTTGCCTGTGGTCAGCTCCTTCTGCAGACTGGCCTGGAGCACCTGCCGGGATGGGCAGGGCTCAGGGCCTGGGCCCCTCCAGAGGCTCCTCCCAACCCAACCCCTGCTCAGGGAAGCTTCTCGAGTCCCAGGTTCAGGGATTGGGGGTAGGGGAAGATGGAGCCCCGGTGGGGTCTCACGAGAAGTCTTAGGGTCTCACCTCCATGTTCAGCTTGGCCCCCTCTTCCCGCTTCCCATTGATCCGGGCCACCCTCTGCAGGGACCTCAGGGTGAGGTCCAGTCTCCCAGTGGAGGCGTGCCAGCGAGCAGACTCGATGAAGAACCTGGGAGCAGGAGGAGGGTGGGTGTCGGCATGGCCTCAGTTCCAGTCTGCTGGGCTGGGGATTGGAATGGGGTGGGGGGAGGTTTCCAGGGGCCTGTATGGGGTTTTATTTAAGTCTGGGAGCCCCGGGGCTTTGCCAACTCCTCCTCTCTAGGACCACAAGGGAGTGCCCAGCTTGGTGAGGACTCACTCCTCAATCGAGGAGCTCAGCTTGGATGCTGGGTATGGGGACAAGCGCAGACAGGTTGGAGAACTAGGGGAAACTAGGGGAAGCTGGAGAACAGGACACCCTGGAGCAAATCTATTTCCTCATCAATCACAGTATGGCATTGGCCTGGGTGTGACCTTGACCTTCTGGCTTTGACCTTCCCTGATTCTATGGGGTCGGACATGTGGTACACTCTAGGAGATGTCTTGTCCCTTGCAATCCTTTGGGCTCCTGTAGTACTGCCTCCCACCCTGGGTCCTACGCACCAGGAGTAGATGAAGAAGGCGAAGAACGGTGCGGAGACTAGCAGCTGCAGATGGCGCCAATGGGGCACGGCGTAGGCCATACCGGCCAGGAGGAACTGGCCCAGGCTATAGACATAGCCACTCAGGGTGCCCACACAGGCCCGGGTGTGGATGGGCATCCATTCCATGTCTAGAAAGAGGGTTAGAGCAGGGTGGTGCAAGTAATAGGACTGCCCAGTGGGTGAAGATCCTGGGGGCAGGCAAAGACCCTCCCTCCAGCCAAACCCTGATCTATGCCCAGGCTCCACAGAAGGGGCCTCAAGTGTGGTTTGGTCACAGGTTGGGTGTCAGGTAGGGGAGTGGGGGACTTTTGGTGGAAGTAGGGATGGCCAAGTAGGTTCAGAATCCCTAGGAAATGATCCCTTCACACTGTATCCACTGTTTAGGACACAGTTCTCATCACTCCCTAGTGTCTCTGGCACCTGTGTCAGTCATTTACATCACCTGCCTGGCCCCAGCAACGGAGTTTGCAATCCCATGTCTAAATGAGGGGTCAAGGGGGTATGAGCCAGAGAGAAAGGCTGTTGTGTTGGCTGGAAGGGCTCAGGAGGGGTGGGGCTGGGAGAGGAGGCAGGGAGGGGGCTGCTGGTCTGGGTGGTCAGAGGGGAGCGGGGAGGGCCCTGGTATCCCTCACTCAGTGTCATGCAGTTGAGGGCGATGCTAGCCAGCGACATGCCCGAGAGGAGCCGGAAGGTGCAGTAGGTGGGGAAGTTGGGTGCGAAGGCTGCACAGGTCCCTGACACGGCTGTCTGCAGGTAGTTTAAGATCAGTATCTTCCGACGGCCCAGCCTGTAGGGGGAGGGAAGACCTGAGGGCCTGACAAGGGGGTGGGGTGGAGGGGCAGCCTGGGCAGGGAGAGGAGTGCTTGCCCTGGGTGAGGCCCTGGGGGATTGCTGGAGTATCTGGCACAGGAGGCTCCTTAACCAGCAAATAATTCCCCCAGGCGTGAACTATACAGCCTGGGGACCAGAAGCCCTGGGTTCTAGTCCTGCCTGGCCACTGACAAGGTGATGGAAGGGTTGAGGGAAGACCAACGTTTGCTGAGCATCTACTCTGTGCATGGCGTGTAGTAGGCACTTTCACATGCACTGTGAACAGATCATTATCCCATTTGAAAGAAGGGTGGAGTAACTTGTCCAAAGCCACAAGCCTGTGAGTGGCAGGGGCAGGATTTGATGCCAGAGCCCGTTCTCTGTCCACTCCTCTGCTGCCTCCCGCACTGTTCCTTCCCGTCCTCATTGCGGAGTGCCTGGGTTGAGCCAGAGCCGAGGTGTTTATGCTGTGGTCTAGGAGCCCTTTGTATCCTCAAAGTGCCTCAGGGGCTTCTGTGTGTGAGTGAGTGTGCAAGTGTGTTGGGGCAATCAAGGACAGAGCTGGCAGTATTCTGGACCTCCCTCCTTGCTTCCGTCAGAGCAGTTCAGCTGTAATCTGTTAAACTTACTGAACTTTCAAAGAGAGAGTTTTTGTTGTTGCAAAAAGGATGGAAAACTGCAGGATCAGATGGTACCTATGGTCCCTCCTGTCCTGGTCATTCCAGGGATGGAGTTCTTTCGAGGACCTGTGAACGTCCCTGTTGGAGTCCCTGGGTGGTGCAAAATGTTAAGTACTAGGCTACTACCCACAAGGTTGGCAGTTTGAATCCACCCAGAGGCACCTCAGAAGAAGGGCCCTGAGATCTACTTCTGCAAAATCAGCCATTGAAAGCCCTATAGAGTATACTTCTACTCTGACACACATGGAGTTGCCATGAGTTGGAATCAACCCAACAGAAGGTTCCTGTACTATGAGGCTGGGGCTGTAGGTTCTCAAACCAGCCCCAGATGAAAATGCCAACCTACCACCTAGGCCCCCTGTGCCCAGCTGAGGAGCCCCAACCCTAGCCCAGCCCCTTGGCCTTCCCCAGGACTGACCTGTCTGCCAGGTACCCGAACACCATGGCTCCGAGCAGTACCCCTACCATGTACAAGGACTGAGCCAGCGGACGTAAGGCTCTGTGAGAGCACACGAGGTCCCACTGTGGGGAGAGGTGGAAAGGGTCAGGCAGAGACGAGCCTGGGCTGCACTGGAGCCCCTTCCTCTCCTTTCAGGCTGGCCCTCTGGGGGCTGCGTCGCCCTTTTTGTCACCCTCTGTGTCCCAGGAGCTGAGAGCATTTTTTTGACTTTTCAACTCCCACATCCACCTTTTCTACAAAGACCCCCGTTTTGAACCTCATTCTCCATCTTCCTGTCTTGGCCTCTGGAGAACTTGAGACTCTGTGTGTGTGCGTGTCCGAGGGGAGGGCAGAGCCTGCCTGGCACATGGAGGGGGTCCCCAGGTCCTCACCTCAGTCACGATGGTGGAAGGAAAGATGCTGTTGTTGTAGATCCAGCCATCCGTGCACGGCTCTGTGGCCCCTGTGACGTTCGCCTCTGTACCATTGGCTGAGGGTGGTCCCCATTGTGGGGAGGTGAAGCGGAGGCAGGACTCAGGCTGCCCCCGCCTGTCCCGGGGCAGCCAGGCCTCCAGCCCCCCATCCTTGCTCAGGTTGGCGTCAGCAGGTGGGCGGCAGTGGTGGGTGGGGATGGCGGCAGTGAAGTTCTGCAGGGTGTTGTGGGAGGCCATCAGGAGAAGCGGGAGGACCACCAGGATGACCTGGGTCCACTGGAAGCGGCCGACGCCCCCCACCTGCTGTAAGAGGTCATTGAAGGCCATGGGGCCAGGCCTGGCCAAGTGGCTGGGGGCCGAGGACTTCCAGTCCCAGGATCTCTGTCTGTGTGTCTGTCTGCCTGCTGTCCTTTGCTGGTGGAGAGGGGCTGCCGTTGTCTCCGCAGCTGAGCTGCTCCCAGAGCAGGATCTGAGCCGGCTCTGTGGGGGGACAGCAGCCTGGCCAGGCTGCCTCTCCTCCCCTCCCTCGCTCCTGGATCTGGCCCTCCCTTTCCCTTGCAGCCTCTCCTCACTTGGGGAGAGGGTCAGTTTTCAGGGTCTGCTGTAGGCCTGACCCCTGCATGGGCAGTTTTTAATCCTTGGCCTGGAGGGAGTTAAAGTGTGACTTGGTATCAGAAGGATTAACCCTGGGAGTATCCTTGTGTCAGTGGAATTTCTCCAAGTGAGTATAAAGGGCAGGAGAGGGTGGACTAAAGCAGGGGTAGCGGAGGGGATGGACTGGGAGGGCCCATCTGGGTATCTAAGGGCAGGAGGGGCAGAACAGGACTTTTTTCTTCCTTTTCATGGGGAGACCAGGCTTTGGGAAGTGCGGTGGCTTCTTGAGGGGTTTCTGGCCTTCTTGGTGGACGGGATGCAAACAGTCTGTCTTTGGGTAGGGCTGCCAGATAAAATATTGCATACCCCGTTTAATTAGAATTTCAGACCAGTAAGTAATTTTTTAGTATAAGTAGGGTTGCTATGAGTTGGATTCCCCTCGACGGCAATGGGATGTCCTGTGTGATTTTGTTGTTGTCGTTCGCTGCTGTTGAATTAGCTCATGGCTCATGGCAACCCCATGAACGACTAGATCCTATACCATTGTTGCAATTGGTTTGTTGTGATCCCTAAGGTTTTTGTTGGCTGATTTTTGGAAGTAGAACTCCAGGCCTTTCTTCTTAGTCCATCTTAGCTTGGAAGCTCCACTGAAACCTGTTCAGTATTATAGCAACACGCAAGCCTCCACTGATAGTGGGTGGTGGCTGCACATAAAGTATATTGGTCAGGAATCGAACTCGGGTCTCCCACATGGAAGGCGAGAAGTCTACCACTGAACAACCACTGCTCCCCTCATGCAATATTAAAAAACAAAAAAACCAAACCCATTGCTATTGAGCTGATTCCCACTTATAACCACCCTATAGGACAGAGTAGAACTGCCCCATAGAATTTCCAAGGAACACCTGGTGGATTCGAACTGCCGACGTTTTGGTTAGCAGCCGTAATATTAGGGACTGCAAAAATTATTCACTGATATGAAATTCAATTTAACTTGGTGTTCTGTATTTTTATTTGCTAAATTTGGCCACCCTAGTCTTTGGTCTTCTGGGGTCAGCTCATTAACATCTTATAGGGTCATGGCTTTGTTCATATGGAAGAAATGACAGAGGTCAGAGGCTGCTCTTGAAGGAGCAGAACCTAAGTCAACAGCATATGTGATGCAGATGGATTCTCCCAGTGTCTCAACTTTTACCTTCTTGATTATTCCAAATTAAAAGTTCTCCCATTGTCATGTTGTCTCTGACCATAGTTTTATTTTTGCAATGGGCATGAACTTATTTTATTTTTAGCCCAACTCTAGGACCACCAATTTTATTTCTTCAACAGTTTGGTTCCTGAGTCTGGTCCAGGGCAGTGTTGAGCCCTGGATTAGATGGGTTTCCATGGGATCTGATTGGTTGGAACACGGATTGAGGATGCCAAAAGTGCAGGTTGCAGCTTCTCATTTTTGCACAGTGCATATTATATATAACATGGACTCTGGAGTCAGCCTTGTTGTTGTTGTCAGGTGCTGTCAAGTCGGTTCCGACTCATAGTGACCCTATGTACAACAGAACAAAACACTGCAAGGTCCTGCGCCATGCCCACAATCGTTGTTATGCTTGAGCCCATTGTTACAGCCACTGTGTCAATCCATCTAGTTGAGGATCCTCCTCTTTTTCAACGACCCTGTACTTTACCAAGCATAATATCCTTCTCCAGGGACTGATCCCTCCTGACAGTATGTCCAGAGTATGTAAGACATAGTCTCGCCATCCTTGCTTCTAAGGAGCATTCTGGTTGTACTTCTTCCAAGACAGATTTGTTAGTTCTTTTGGCAGTTCGTGGTATATTCAATATTATTTGCCAACACCACAATTCAAAGGCCTCAAGTCTTCTTCTGTCTTCCTTATTCATTGTCCAGCTTTCACATGCATATGATGCAATTGAAAATATCATGGCTTGGGTCAGATGCACCTTAGTCTTCAAGGTGACATCTTTGCTTTTCAACGTTTTAAAGAGGTCTTTTGCAGTAGATCTGCCCGATGCAAATGCATCTTTTGATTTCTTGACTGCTGTTTCCATGAGTGTTGATCGTGGATCCAAGTAAAATGAAATCCTCGACAACTTCAATCTTTTCTCCATTTATCTTGATGTTGCTTAGTGGTCCAGTTGTGAGGATTTTTGTTTTCTTTATGTTGAGGTATAATCCATACTGAAGGCTGTGGTCTTTGATTTTCATCAGTAAGTGCTTCAAGTCCTCTTCACTTTCAGCAAGCAAGGTTGTGTCATCTGCGTATCGCAGGTTGTTAATGAGTCTTCCTCCAATCGTAATGCCGCATTCTTCTTCGTGTAGTCGTTTCTTGGATTATTTGCTCAGCATACAGATTGAATAGGTATGATGAAAGGATGCAACCCTGACACACACCTTTCCTGACTTTAATCCAAGCAGTATCCCCTTGTTCTGTCCAAACAACTGCCTCTTGATCTATGTACAGGTTCCTCATGAGTGTTCTGGAATCCTCATAAGTGTTCTGGAATCCCCATTCTTTGCAATGTTATCCATAATTTGTTATGATCCACACAGTAGAATGCCTTTGAGTAGGCAATAAAACACAGGTAAACATCTTTCTGGTATTCTCTGCTTTCAGCCTGCTTGGATCCAAATGAGCAAGCCACACTTACTGGCTATGTAACCATGGGCATGTTTCCAAACGCCTCTGTACCTCAGTGTCCTCATTTGCAAGGTGGAGATAATAGTGGCATCTACCTCACTGGGTTGTTGGAGGGTTAAACGAGCTAATACACGTAAAGAGCTTAAAATAGTTGTTGTCCCATAGCTCAGTGAATACCCGGTGTTCTTACTGTTTATTTTTGGAAAAAAAGGTGAGACTATTGCATCGGATGGATTTTATAGAGGAAATAAGTCCAAGCACATCTTACTCTAAAACAGTCCTTCTTTACTGGCAGTGATTTGACGCCCCAGGGGACATTTGCCAGTGTCTGGAGATATTTTTGACTGTAACAGCTTGAGGGGTGGTTGTTACTGGCATCTAGGGGTTGAAATTAAGGATGCTGATAACCATCCTACAATGCACAGGACAGTCCCCCCACCCCCCAACAAAGAATTATCTGGTTCCAAGATATCAGTAGTAGAGACTAGAAGATGCCTCAGATTTACTTTGTATAGTGATCAGTTCCCATACCTGCTCGGTTAAGGAAATTCCCACCATGCAGGTGACTCCTTCCAAAATATTTCTAAGAACCCTCATGATCTCACTTGAGCGGGAAAAGGTTTTGCAAGGTGAGGGACAGAAAGTCTCCTTCTTGTTCTGCTTGACTACAACAAAGTAGCCTGGGCTCCAAAGTACAGCAGCTCTTTCCATGCTCACGACTACCCAGCCAGTCTTGCCTAGGACAGGACTTCAATCTCCCTGTACTCAATCCAACACTTCTCTCCACCGCACTCTAACTCAATCGTTGGGCCTGACTTACCATGCTAGACTCTTCTTTACCTTTGATGGTGTGTTTCCTGTTGGGTCTCTGGCTGTCTTTTTCTGTAAGCTGACTCCTGTTGACTGTCCCTCCACATATATTGGTATATGCTGAGCACAATCAGTGACCGGGGTTTGATAGTTTTATAGGAGGCACCCCAGGCACTATACAAATTTGGCAATGAGGAAAAGGGGCATTTGTTTTTCCACTGTTCAGGGCAGAAAACTCCAAGTCTTGCTGTTGAGGGGAAGCAATTTGACGTCCGATTCCTCTTGTTAGAAGTCTAGATGCCCTGTTATCATTGTGCAGTTCACACAAATGACATTTTTTTGTGTTAAATCGGAAGGATGTTTATTGTTCATCAAGGCCCTGGGATAAATGAAGTCTTGGACTATTTACTGGTTAAACCTATTCTGTCTAACTTCAAAGCTGGGCTCTTCTCTGCTGCTTTAGAGGTGTAGACTGCCCAGCTAAGAGGGCCCTGGAGACCATCTGGTCTTGTATGTATAGAAGAGGATCGAGGAGGCCCAGAGAGGGATGCAGCTTAGCCCAGCCTCCCTCCTCCCGCCTAGTGTTGGTTCTGGGCTGGGACCCAGTGGGTGTCCGGATGCTTGACATTCTCCAGGCCAAAGTATATAAGAGCTCCATGGCCTGGGGATGCAAGGACAGCTGGACAAACAGCTTGGGAGCTGCGGGGCCAGTCTCCTGCCAGGACTTGGTGCCCTCATGGGAAGTGGTTGGAATGCTGAGGGCAGTGGGGGAGATGATGGCCCCCTGCAAGCACCGTCCCTCTCGGAGCCCTGTGCCTAACCCCTCTTTGGAGAAGAACTCCCTCTCTAGTACCTGACCAGCTCCAGGTCAGGTTGAGTCCAGAAAAAGGCTCCATTGGGGACTCCAGGGACTAAGTCGTAGTTGGCTCCTGGGATCATCTGGGTAGCAAGGGGATTCCCCACCAGCCTCCCAGCTCTTGGAAGATTTCTGGATGGAAATGCTTCCATGGCAAATGGTTTGTGGAGCTGGAAACTATCCCTTAGGGAATCTTCTGAGTCACTAGATACTCAAGAGTTGGATTCCTCTGGGCTGATTGGAACATAGAATTACGTTCTGGCCAGGCTCATTGACAAGGGTCAAATCTGGGGACTTCTCCATTGGCCAAACACCACAGAACCACATGGCTTCAGAGTTGAATGCCAATGCCGTCACCCTACTGAAAACTTCTCATTGTAAACATTAAGAAACTGAGGCCTTGAGTAGTCAGGGCATTTGCTCATGATCACACAGCAAGCAGATCTAGAACTCAGCTCTCTTGATTCCCTTGTTCTTTACGCCGTACTGGTAGCCATCCCATGCCCTAGATTTTCTGGGACCAGTCCTAATTTTGTACCAAATTTATTCTGTTAAATAAATGGGATTGAAAGTGTGCAACTACATGTGCTGCTGCTTTTGATTATTTTGTGAGATTTTCAAATAAATAATTTACAGATCAAAGAACACACTCTTGCTCAGATCACATGTCGTACATGTGGGTTTGAAATGATTGACTTGAAGAGGACTCCAGAAGTACCTGCCAAGTCACAGCTACATTCCGAGGAAGGAGCCACACTGTGCGCATTGTGTCTTGTGGCCTGGACACTCTGGCTGATGGACGATGCAGAAATTAGGAATTCATCCAAAGACTGCCACTTAAAAGCTGGATATGACGCCAGTAACCAATGAGGTGGCCCAGCATGGGGACTGTGCCCAAGAGAGGTGCTCCATATTGGATGGCGATTCACTGAGGCAGTTGGAGGCCCTGCTGGCAACAGAGAAGGGAGTAGGGGAAGCAAGAGAAGCTAGAGTTATACAGGAATAAGTGGAGATGGAGAGAAGATGGACTCTAGACTGGGGGTTTAGGGGTGGCAAGAGGAATGGGTCATCTGAGGAGTCAGTACCTCCTGACCAACATCACAGTTCAACCTAAGTCCTGATTGTGTGACTGGGAAGCTGTTTCCTAGTATCTTCCCTTCTTTTTCTGTGTCTTTGCAGTAAAACCCAAACCAAAAAGCCCATTACCATTGAGTTGATTTCGACTCATGATGACCCCATACATTACAGAGTAGAACTGCACTCCATAGTGTTTTCTTGGCTGTAACCGTTACAGAAGCAGATGGCCAGGCCTTTCTTCTGTGACACCACTGGGTGGGTTTGAACTGCCAAGCTTCATGTTAGTAGTTGTGCGCAAACCATTGCACAAACGAGGGGCCTGTCTCTGCAGTAAACACCCTGAAACACCATGGCGATAGTCATGACCAGGACATCTGGGAACCACCCTAAGTTCTTGAAAAATGGGAATGAGGGAGGGAGGGCAATGGCTCCTCCCTGAGTCCAGTTTTTCTCCCTCCAGGGTGAGACCCAGTCAGGCTAAGGGGAGGCATTACCAGCCCCAATGTCAGTTGACCCTAGATTCCAAGGAAGAAACTCCATAGCAAGTGGGCCTGGTAACCCCTAGGGCAAAGACCAGATGTCAGTGGGCAGTGCAACACAGGACTGATTCTGGGTACCACCCCAGACTGTGAAAGGTTGGCAAAGGGGGGAGCCCTACCTCTGAAATGGTCAGAAATTGCCATTTCTAGCAGTTTCCCATACGGCTGGGTGGCAGGTGGGCTGGGTGGGGGACCCTTCTGCCCTGCTCATTCTCTCTCTTCCTGGCTCTTGCTTCCCCACTCTCCTTCTGTTTTCTGGGACCTCCTGCTAAATAAACTACTAACAGTCAAATCCTTATCTCAGGATCTACTTCTGGGGGAACCCACACTGAGACAGGGGAGACAGATAAACCTGCAACCACAATTCAGTGTGATAATCAGGACACTTAACCTAGACTCTCAAACTCCATATCTCAAATCTTAGCCCAGGAGAGAACATCTGATTAACCCTATTTGGATCAGGAGTGCCCCCTGCTCCAGTCAGTACTGGAGTGTGGGTCACAAGCCTTTTTGGTGGAAATGATCCAAATCAAGGTGTTGAGGATGAGTTAGAATGAACCAAGTACAGTGGCCATGGGGTGGGGAAGAAATCAAGTACTGGACATGTATGAAGGTCAAGAGCAAGAGAAGGTAGGTACAGTCTAGGCACTGGAAGAAGTTGGATGAGGCTGGATTGCAGGGTGCCAGCAGTTGAGACGGGTTGGGGTCTGATCATGACAGGCCTTGTTCCAGAGCTTAGATTTTACCCCAGTGGGAAGCCACAGCAAGGTTGAGGCTGGGGTGAAACATGGTTCTCTTTCATATTTATGAAGCTCTTTCTCAAATCTCTAAATACAGATTTGAGAGTAATTAGCTCTGTGGCTAATATTCAAAGTCCTGGAGTGGATGAGTATGTCTGAACTGTCCCATACGGTAGCCACTAGCCACTATTGAGCACTGGAATTGAGTTAGTCCTAATTGAGATGTGCTGTGGGAAACCTGGCTTTGATTCCTGGCCAGCGCACCTCATGCACAACCTTGAGCGCATGAGGTTGCACTGCAAGCTGTCAGTGGGGCTTTCGTGTTGCTATGATGTTGAACAGGTTTCAGCAGTGCTTCCAGACAAAGATGGGCTAGGAAGAAAGGCCTGATAATCTACTTCTGAAAACCAGCCAAGGAAAACCCAATGGATCCCAATGGTCTGCTCTGCAACCCATCATGGGGATGGCACAGGACCAGGAAGTGTTTCGTTCTGTTGTGCATGGGGTCACCATGAGTCAGGCGCTGACTCAATGGAACAACAACAGTGATATAGCTGGTGGAAAACATATACCAGATTTTGCAAACTTAGTATGAGTTACAGAATGTAAAATCTCTCAATAATTCTTTATATTGATTACATGTTGAAATGGTAATACTTGGATATATTGGGTTAAATAAAATATATGACTAAAATTTCACCTGACTCTTTTTTCTTTTTTCACTTATTTGAAGTGGCTACTAGGAAATTTCAGGTCCCTAGGTGGTTCAAAAGGAGCCCTGGTTAGGGCTCAGCTGCTAACTGAAAGGTTGGTGGTTTGAACCCCTCAGCCACTCCATGGGAGAAACATGTGGCAGTCTGCTTCCGTAAAGATTACGGCCTTGTAAATCCCATGGGGCAGTTCTACTGTGTCTATAGAGTCACTATGAGTCAGAATCAACTCTATGGCAACAGTTTTTTTTTTTTTTTTAAGGGAGGTGGTGCAAAAGGTTTGTACTCAGCTGTTAACCTAAAGGTTGGCGGTCTGAACTCATTCAGCAGTACTGCAGAAGAAAAGCCCTGGCAATCTTCTTTCATTAAGATTACAGTCAAGAAAACCCTATGCAGCATAGTTCTACTCTATAACACATGGGGTCATCATGAGTCAGAATCGACTCGACGTCAACTAACCACAACGACTAGGCCATTTGAAATTATGTATGTGGCTCGCATTATATTTCTATTAGACAGTGCTGGTGAGGACTGTTAGAGAAAGAGGTCCCAGAAAAGTTCTGAGGGACATCAGCCTTTACAGGATGATAGAGGACAAGGAGCTGCTTTTGATATTGCTTGGTTACAAGGAACAGAACCCCTCAAATTAGCTCTAACAAAAAGGAGAATTTATTGGGTAAATTTAGGGATATTTACTAGAATCCAGGGGGAGAGAGTGAATTCAGGGCTGTTGAGAAACTGGGCCCTGGAATCCATTAAGAACCAATGCAAATGATCTCACCGACTCTTCTTACCTGGGCCCACGTGGTCTCTTGTTCTGTTTTCTTTGTATATTCACTTTGTTCTCTCTACAGTTGACTTTCTCTACTCCGCTTGCATCTGGACCAGCCCAGCCTCATGTTAACTTGCCTTCCCAGGGCTAGACCAAGAGATAGACTAGAACTTCATGTCTCAAATCCCAACCCAGGAGAGAACATCTGAGTCACCCGATTTGGACCAGGAGGGCTCCCTGATGCAGTCAGATAAAGCCAGGGTCGTAGGGTCAGTGGAGCCCTGTGCAGTGGTTAAGAGCTCAGGCTTCTAACCAAAAGGTCAGCAGTTTGAATCCACCAGCTGCTCCTTGGAAACATCCTATGGGGCAGTTCTACTCTCAATGGCAATGGGTTTGGGTTTTTTTTTTTTTTTTTGGTGGGGTCAGTAATTGTCCAATTAGCAGGTTCTGGGGACACAGACTCTCAGAGAAGGGGTCAGGGAAGGGCAGGTAAAATGACTATAGTGGCATTTACAGGAAACCTCAAAGGGGCCTGAGAAGGAGCGGCCAGAGGGTGGAGGGAGCCGCAAGCATGGGCATCTCAGGAACCAGGGGAGCAGGGCATGACCAGTGGGGTTAAATCAGCTGAGAGGCCGAGTAGGAGGAGGCACGAATAGTGACCTGTGGATTCAGCACAGGGAGGTGATTAGGTCCTTGTGAAAGCAGTTTCAGTGGAGGGAAAGGTGCCTTGGCAGATGGATGAGCTTGGAGGCAGGGGACTAGACAGCTCCTTCGTGAAGTTTGGCTGTGAAGAGGAGAAAGAGACTGTGGCCCTGGAGGGAGATATGGAGGCCGGGGAAGGTGTTTGTTTTTGGTTTTTGTTAAGATGAGAAGGAACCAGGAAAGCGGAAATGGGCCAGGACCCAGAGGGGAATGAGCTGGCTGCTGGCGGGAGGGGATGGATTTAGAGTCCCGTGTGAGGACTCGCCCTTCGGCTGTGAGGAGAGGGAACGCGGGGAACATGGCGCCGGTATCAGCAGTTTGGTTCAAGTGTGGCTGTAGTTTTAACTGCAGTTTTCAGTTAAAGAGGAGACAGAGCTGTCTGCTGGGCTCGAGGCGGGATGTGGATCAGAGATCCGAGGTGAGCAGGGGAGGAGCGTCAGGATTGGAGGAGCCGCCCTTGGCATGTGCTGTTATCTGCTCACATGCATACTGGGATATGTAAACACACACGTGGTATTTCCCAGCACAGGCCTGGTGCACACACACAAGCACGCACATGTTCACATCAGCCCAGCTTGCCTATACCTGTGTGCCGGTGCCTGTCTGCACACACAAGCACACGTGGAAGAACGTGCCTGCTCACACATCCACACAGTGGTCTGTGTCTTTCTCCACCCCACCCTTGGGCAGCATAGCTGAGTTCTTCATCACTGTTTATTGAAACATCCTCTCCCTAAAGGCTGATTTGGAGGAAGGGGTGGGGGCCTAGAAGGGGAAGCTGTCTTTTTCTGGGTTCCCAGGCCTGACCCAGGGGGCCCAGAGGCCCTCAGAGGGAGGAGGCTGGGACAGTGGAGAAGGGCTGGGGCAGAAGAACAGCACGGCCTGGGCTATAGGGAGGATGAGGGCCTGGTGGGCGTGGGAAGGCCTGGGGAAGAACACTTGAACTGGCCAAGGCTGGAGGCTCTGGTGGTGGAAGGTAGATGGAGACTCCTTCATCCAACTCTCAGAAGATTTTGTCTTCAGGATCCCAGGGTGTCTGAGGAGCCTAGAGGCAGGCAGAGCCTTAGCAGGGACCATTCTCTGGAGGGCAGGGAAAGGGGCTCCATTGCCCTCAGCTGGGGACCAGGCCTGGGTCACAGGGCTGCAGAGGGATCCTCTGGGAGGCCTTTTCCCCTTCTGGATCCTTCTCTGTCTCCTTGGCCTGCTGGGACCTGGGGACAGTGAGAACTTAGGCAAAGCCCTGGGCCCAGCCCTGCTTCCCCGAGGAGGAGCACTGGTGGGGCCAGAGGCAGGGGCTGACCAGTTTTCCACGTCTTCGAGGGTCTCTGGCAAGTGCCGATTGAGGGTCTCAGGCAGGAAGAGGGCGGCACTGCCTCCCAGGAGGGCCGTGACCCCGTAGATGACATTGGGGATGAAGGGCTGCACCTCAGCCAGGATCTTCATCAGTGGGGCCACCATGCTGCCCACGCGGGTCCACAGGTTACTTACGCCCAAACCTGTTTGCCTGAGAAGGTTCAGAGCAGGGATTGGCAGCCTGGATGTGGGGTTCTTGAAGGATGGCCCTGGGACCCCTGGGCAGGAAGCCATAGCCCCACTGACCCTGGCTGGCTGGGCCCAGTCACAACACCTACCGGATAACGGTGGGGTACAGCTCGCTTGTGTAGAGGAAGAGGCAGCTGAAGGAGCTGGACAGGCACCCCTTCCCAAACACAGCAAGCACTGTCTTCAAGGTCTGCAGGTCTGCAGAGGGAAGAAAATGTATGGGCCTTGGAGCTTGGGAGCACTTGAGTGTTCCCATCGCTTAGCAAACTTCCCCAGTCAATCTGTTCTGGACCAGGCCTTGCCCTGTGCACCAGCCTTGATGATCCTCCTCACAGCCCAGTAAGGGAGGAGGGCAGACAGGTGATGGTACTGAAGTGCCAAGGGCATCAGGTCAACTTTACCCCCATACTGAGTCTCTCAGGAGAGATTTCTGAAAAGTTTCAGCACTAGGAAAAGCTTGGCTTTGATAACAAGAATTCTGTAACTGACCTTGTCTCCTTTTTTGCTTTGGTTGCCAGGAAGCTCAGATCCAAACTTAGAGCTGAGTAATAGTTCCTCTGCTATTTCTAATGCTTTGCTTCCTTGTGTCCTGCTGTGTTTGTGTTTTTCCCTGGCTCTGATTCCTTATTCTCGTTTATATTTTGATGTATATGCCCTTGTCCTAAGATATCTCAAATCCCTTTAGAAGGAGATAGGTGTATCAACAAACAATTGTCTATATAAAAGACAAGTGGCTTTTCCAATGTCTTAATGGAGTAAGTTGTGGGGTCTTTTTGAGCACTGGGCTGTCTCCCCATCCCCACTTGTTCTTCACAGTGATGATACACAGACACCCCCAATCCCAAAACAATCCCTCACAATGTCCAGATACCACCATACATTGCCCAGTCCAAGTCAGATCAGGAAAGGAGCTTCAATATCATCCAGCCCAACTGAGTTATTCTCTAGACGAAAGACCTGAGACCCAGACAGCCCAAGGACCTGCTCAAGGTAACGTGGTGAATTAGAGGCAGAGCCGCAACCTGTGGCAGCCTGTGATGCCCACGGACATGTTGGCCTGCATGGTTCATTCTCCTCCGAGGGCTCTGGGGTAGCCCAGCCTCTCACCCGAGGGCACTAAGGTGAGAGCCAAGATGGACCCTCCTGCCAGGAGCAGAGAAGCAGCCTGAGTGATGCGCCGGCCCAGGTAGCTCATGGAGAGGATGGAGACGAACTTGCTTGGGACATCAGCACCTGCAAAGATGATCTGGAGGAGGTAGATGTCGACCCCAAAGTCTTCCACACCCATGGCCAAACTGTAGTAGGCAAAACCAGTGGCAAACCTGAGAAGCAGAGAGGGACTGGTGAGCATCTCAGCCAGTCTGGGGCCTCTCCCCATACTGGCCAGAGGGTCACCAGGATGATGTGGAGTTTGTTGTGCCAACTACAACCAATTGGTAAGGGCTCAGTGGGAAAGTGATTACTTGGTTACGTCAGAGATGGGCCTGGATCTGGGGTATGGTGGCACAGGGGCCATACAGTTGGCCCCAGAGAATAGCAGGACTGGAAGGAATCTTGGACACCAAACCAAAAAATCAAATCCATTGCTGTCGAGTCGATTCCAACTCATGGTGACTCCATGTGTTACAGAGTAGAACTGCTCTAGAGGGTTTTCTTGGCTGTGATCTTTATGGAAGAAGATCACCAGACCTTTCTTCCATGGAGCCTCTGGGTAGGTTTGAACCACCAACCTTTAGGTTAGTAATTGAGCACAAGCTGTTTGTACCACCCAGGGACCAGTAGGAGACCAAAGGAGGCAGATCTCTCTTGGTTGTGTAGGAGTTGCCTGACGAACAGCTTAATGTCCAGTGTAGGGGAGGTGAAAATTAAACCGTCTGCAAGGGCCAGATGTCTCCTATCCATCTCTCTGAATTTTGGTATCTCTTTTGAAGGGTTCCTAGACCACAAATTGGATCTTATTCTTAGGGGGATGGCCAGGATGAAGAAGGGCCTCCAAATCAGGTCACAAAAGGGGACAGAAGAGAAAACTCAGGAGAAACAAAATTTCCATTTTCAAGTCTGAAGCCCTGAGGGCAGCCTTGCTCTGTGGGGTCCCAAAGGGCAGAGCCAGATCAGTGTAGGCAGAGACAGAGAGATTCAGCATCCAGAAACTTCCATGGCTGGGATGAGAACTGGTGAAGGGATTTGGAGCTTTTGCCCTGTGGTGGGGTGGGCATGACCCCAAAGGGAAGCAGACCCTGGTGGCCGGGCCTGGGTGTGGGGCAGGGATGCAGCTGATTTGGGGGCTGGGGTTGGGCTGGGGTGGCCTAGGGGAGGGGTGTACTTGACTCCACTTGCAGATGCTCTTGGCCATGCTCTCAGGTGAGCCTGCCAGAGGCCTTCTGCATCACCCGTGCCTTGGTGGAGGTGCTGGAGTTGGCAGGGAGAGGTGGTGGGTTACCAGGCCAGGGAAAGACAGAACAACATGAGGCGCAAGATGGGCGTCCGGAACAGATCAACTACGCTGTACTTGGCCTTGGCCAAGGTGATCTCCTTCTGCAGGTTGAGCTTGAGCTCCTTGGGGAAAAGGAAGGGAAGAGTGCCATTAGTGACCAGCTGGTGGGTAGAAAGCAGAAGAGCAGGAGGTGCAGGCCTGGGACCTCCAGAAACACTTGCTTAGGGGACCATATATAATGCAGGCTTGGGTGCAGGGGAAAAGGTGGCAAGCAGAGGGGAGCGTGCAAGAGCAGAGCCCTGGAGTCCCGACCTCTAGATTACAATCCCTCATGGCTCCTACCTCCAAGGTGAGCTTTTCTGCCTCTTCCTTCTTGCCGTTGAAAGCAGCCACCCACTTGAGTGTCTTCAGGGCCTTCGAGGACCTTCCGGACAGGACCATCCAGCTTACAGACTCTGCTACCCACCTGGGGGCCCAGAATCAAGTTGCAGTGCTTCCTCCCACCCCAGAACCCCCTTTGAGAGGCTGGGAGAACATCAACAGCCAGGGCCAAGGGGTCAGAGGCCTAGAAACCTGAGCGGCCTTATTGCAGATTTCATGGAATTTAAACGTGGCCAAAATTTGCACCTGGGCTGCTGGCAGCCAGCACAAATTCCAGCCTTCTCTTCTTCCCCTTCCAGAAGAGCTCTCCTTCTGCCTCCCACCCGGGTCGCTTATTAACTTTGGATATCTTCCTTAGCTAGGAGCCCCGGGCCCTGGGCCAAGGCAGGTGGGGCCTGAGCAGGGGGCTGCATGTCCAAGGCTAGACAGCTGGAGGGTCCTGCACGTCCGTCCACCTCCACAGCCTACGTTGGGCTGTGACCCCAGCCTCTCTGTTGAAGAAGTGGTAGGGCTGCAGTCCCGGGGCAGTTTGGGAAAGGCGCCTGGGGCTAAGGTGAAGGTTTGGCCCAGGGAATGGGTTTGAGGACCCCTATATTCTCCCTGCAAAGGACAAGCTCTGCTGGGTGGGGACCACAGCATGGGGTGTGCCAATGTCTTGGGATTGGCTAGAGGACAACCGCCCCATCCTCTCCTTCCCATGGGCTCTTCTGTTGGGATTGCTCCACCTGAGCAGTCCTCAAGGAATGTCGCTAGGCGAAGAGCAATGCAGGAGGCAGAGGTGTGGGGAGAAAGGAATGGAGTTGGAGAGGTCTGGTCCAAGGTGGGGTCAGCTTCGCCTGGGACCTGGCTCCAGTGAGGTCCTTTGGGGAGTGGACATTGGTTACCTGGCCTCGGACCACTGCCCCCAGCTGATAGTGTTGGCTTTCTGGGCTCAGTGCTACCCAGCCTTCTAGCCTTGTGGTCTCTTTTTCTGCCCTGACAATCTTCTGAGCTGCTCTCAGCAAGAATATCAGTGACTCCCTCCCAAACCCACACCTAGGGTCTGGACACCCTACTCCACCCCTGAAAATAATAGCAACAGTAGCTTCCAAATAGTGAGACTCCCTATGTGCCAGACACACAAAATTCTGGTGACCAGCATTATTATCTCCATTTTACCTAGAAGAATCTTGAGGCTCGAAGTGGTTGAGTCTTACCTGAAACCATACAATGAAGGCACACGCGCTCTCGCATGTACTGCTGATGACCCTCAGCCAGTATTTTCACCCCGACTCTCTGACTGCTCCGTCTCTGCTTCCTCCTGGGTGTGAACATTCTTTCCAGCTCCACTCCGGGCTCTCTGCACATCTCTCTTACTCGCTTACCCTCAGATTGCCCGTCCCCTTTAAGAGCTTCTATCCTCATTCCCTGGGTGGTGCAAATGGTTAAGTGCTCGACCACTAGCTAAAAGGTTGGCTGTTTGGACCCACCCAGATAAGCCTCAGAAGACAGGCCTGGCGATCTGCTTCCGAAAGGTCACAGCCTTGAAAACCCTATGGAGCAGTTCTACTCTGCACACATGAGGTCACCATGAGTCGGAAGGGACTTGATGACAACTGACAACAATATCTAAGAGCTTCTATTCTCATTTCCAAGCTGAGGTTCCACCACAGTTCTGCTCCTTTTTGTGTAACCTTGGGGACTTGCTTTACTTCTCTGAGCCTCAGTTTCTTCATCTATGAAATGGGGATGATAATGGCCCCTTCACACAGAGATGTCACGAGGATCTGAGACAATGTAGGTTAATGCTCAGAACAGGGCCTTGCATGTACATAGTAAGTACTCAATAAAGGGTGCTCTAAGACTTCATTTCTTTCCCTGAGCTTGTCCGTGATTTCTTGTCTTTTGGCTCCAACTACCTTCTTCTCATCTCCTGTCCTCCATGTGTCCTTAGGTTCAACATGTGGATAATGGAATTTACCTTCTACCTCAAGTGAGATTTCTGCCCCCTCTGATACCTCAGTTGTCCCAGGTTCCCAGGCTAGGGCACCTCTTGGGGCTTTCTTTTCCTTCCCACCTCAAATTTAGAAGTCCCCAAATTCTGTAGTTCTTCCTTCAAATATCTTTCAGACTTGTACCCAGACACTTCCTGCCTACCCAGTCACCTCCCTTCAGTTTCTCCCCCTTACCCCGCATCTTGGGTCTGTCCCACTTGGGTCTGTCCTTCTGGACTATTACTTCACAAACGAAATCTTGGTCAGACCTCTCAACACAGACACTTCGTGGCTTCCCATTTCCCTCCGTGTGAAGCTTCATCCTCGCTGGCTTTCTGAGCTCCATCCTGTCCATCTCAATGTACTCTTCTTCTTCAGCTGCAGGTAGCCCCTCACTGCCCCCTGGACACTTGCTCCCACATGCTCCCTGCCTTTGCTTATACAAGTCCTCCTTCCTGGAATGTCCTTCCCTGACCCTGGGTCAGGGGTGCCCAGGGACAGACAGAGCTGGCCAGCCTGGTCTGGCGTGGGCTTCTTCTTTTTGGTCTCAGTGGGCCTAAGGAAGCAGGTGGAGAGCAGGGGGCCACGTACCAGGACCACAGGAAGACGATGAAGTAGGGAACAGACGCAGTTAACTGTAGCCAGCGCCACTGGGGGATGGCATAGGCCAGGCCGGGCAGAACGAACTGGCCAATGGTGTAGCAGTAGCCAACTGCTGTCGACTGAATGGCCCGTACCCGGGTGGGCACCCACTCGACATCTGCAGGGAGGAGCCCAAGGACCGGATTAGGATCCTGCTGGGCCCCAGGCATTTCCCTCCTGCCTCCCAATGGCTACACAACCTGACCTTCATCGTAAGAGTTCATCATCTCCATTTTACAGATGCTGCAACCGAGGCTTAAGGAGGTAGGATTCCAACCTAGGCCTGTCTGATCCCCAAGCCCATGTGCTTGACCACTGCCTCTCCAGTGGCAAGTGACTTCCCTTTGTTGTGCCTCAATTTCTTCATCCATAAAACGGAGATCATGACATCACCTGCTTGTGTGTGTGGACTGAGTGAGATCATGTGCTTAGTAGACTGCCAGGCCCACAGTAGGCCCTCAGTATTGATAGCTACTATTAATATACTAAGAAGGAGTCCCTGCATGGCCTAAACAGTTAAATGCTTGGCTATTAGCTGAAAGGTTGACAGTTCAAACCCACCCAGATGCCCCTCAGAAGACAGGCCTAGAGATCTGCTTCTGAAAGGTCACAGCCTTGAAAACTCTATGGAGCAGTTCTATTCTGCACTCATGGGGTTACCATGAGTCAGAATGAACTCGATGGCAACTAACAACAACTATACATATGCCTGTTGTTATGTTCAGAGGAGGCTCTGAGGTCCTGAGAGGCCCAGCACCTTGACCAAGGTCTCAAGGAGCCCGTGGTTGGGCCAGGCCTAGAGCCACTCTCTCTCAGCTTCTGACTGGTGCTCCCCTAACCCCACCTCCTCTGCCCCCTCCACGTCGCTCACTCAGGATCACCGTGCTCAGGGTAATGCCTGACATGCTGCAGCCAGTCAGGAAGCGGAAGACCAAGTAGGTGTGGAAGTTGGGGCTGAAGGCGGCAGAGGAGCCACTGGCCGCGAGCAGCAGGTAGCTCCAGGATAGGATCGTCTTGCGGCCAAACCTGCAGCACCGAGGAGAGGTGGGGGCCGCGTTAGCCCCAGAGTGGCTGCCAAGGCGAGTGACTCTGCAGGTCCCAAAGGGCCAGGGGGGCACATAGCTTCCTTCCCGGGCAGAGCCTTGCTAGTAATTGCTATTTTTCAACAAGTTTGCAATTAGAGATTTGAGTTAATGAGTGATCTCTCCACCCCCACCCCCAGCTTGGCAGCCTGATCAGGGGTCAAAGGAGAGCCATCTCTAAGCGGTCTCTCTGCACCACCTCTTGTTGAGTCTGAGATGCCGTCTGATATCATGCAGGTGGAGTTTTCCGGAAGGCAGTTGAGTATACTAGTCTTGAGGCCAAAAGAGAGGTTGGGCTGGAGATACATGGATTTGAAATATTCATCATAACATAGTAATTAAGCCACAGGAATAGGTGGAATTGCCTGGGGGGAGTGGATAAAGAGAGTGGAGGATCTGGGAAGAGTCCTTCAGAAACTTGAGTGGATGGGCAGAGAGAAAGAACCCATGGGGATAAAGAACAGTGGCCAAGAGGTGGAGAGAAACCAGGTGGAGGGAGAAGTCAGCTGTGCCAATGGCTGCTAAGCGGTCAAGCCGGGTCAAGATACAGAAGGTTCCACTGGATTCACTGAAAAAACTCATCAGTGGCTTTGGTGAGCACAATTCCAGTGGAGAAGTGGAGGGGAAAGCCAGCGTAGAGTGAATTGAGAAGCAAGTGGTAGATGAGGACATGGTGATAGTAAGTGTAGCTACTCTTTCAAGAGACTGGCTTTGAAGGGGAGGGAGAAACAGAGCAAAAGTAGAAGGGAAAGGCAAGTTTTAAGATGGAGAGGTTTGAGTACATGCCAATGCTGGTGGAGAGGAGGCAAGAGAGGTGAGGGATAGACTGAAAATCATGGCAACTCCATGCGTTACAGAGTAGAACTGCTTCACGGGCACGACCTTGACCTTGTGCCAGAAAAGCCCAGGCTTCCCCCTGGGTATGGGGAGGCTGGAAGACTCGAGGTGCAAGGGCCTTGGGGGAGAGACAAGGCTGTGGCCCAGAGAGTGAATAGGACTTGCCCAAGGCCACCCAGAGAGGACCATGCCTTCAGTCTCCCCAGAGCTTTGCCTCTGAGGGCACTCGGGTGGAGCGGAGTAGGGCACGATTGTCTCCCTGAGTTGTGCCTTCTCTTGCGATGCCCCACCATCTCACCTGTCCGACAGGTTTCCGAACACGATCCCGCCAATCAGCACACCCGCCATGAAGATAGACTGGGCCAACTCCTTCAGTTTGTAGGAGTCGCATACCAAGTCCCACTGCACAAGAGAAAAGTGGGGCCAGTCTGCTCAGTCCAGACCAGCCCGCTCACCCCTGTCTCCCCACATGCTCACTCACTCTCCCAGCACCCTCCCTCGGCATCCCTGAAACTGGCCCCCTGCCTCCCAAGTGCCATTTCCCCTTCAGCCTGGTTGGGGCTCCTGTGTCTGCCTGGGACTCTCTGGGTCCTAACCCTGGGTTGTGTAATGATAGCATCCCTCAAGCATGTGTGGCCTGTCAGCGGCATACGAAATCACATCCATGTCTGTTCTCAACCTCCTCCCTCAACACAGCCAACCTTGCCTGTGTCCTTGCGACTCCCTTCTTGCCTCCTTTCCTCCCCTCACGTGTCCAAGGCTCGACTCTCCACCTGCACCCTTGACCTCGCTCTCTCTCCTCCACAGGGACATTATTCTACTCTTGCCAACCCCTGCCCCAAAGGTCCCGAGGTGCTGCAAATCGTCTGAGCTCAACTACTAACCTAAATAAGGTTTTCACTGGCTCTTTCTTTTCAGAAGTAGACTGCCAGCTCCTTCTTCCTAGTCTGTCTTAGTCTGGAAGCTCAGTTGAAACCTGTCCTCCACGAGTAACCGTGCTGGTATTTGAATATCGGTGGCATAGCTTCCAGCATCACAGCAACATGTAAACCCCCACAGTATGACAAACGGATGCAGTGCTGGAAGCACTCACTTGTCTATGCCAAGAAATTTGGAAGACAGCTACCTGGCCAACCAGCTGGAAGAGATCCATATTTATTCCTATTCCAAAGAAAGGTGATCCAACAGAATGCATGATTTTCAGTCTCTCTCACTCTCCCTTGCCTCCTCCCCACCAGCACTGGAATGTATTCAAATCTCTCCATCTTAAAACTTGCCTTTCCCTTCCACATTCGCTCTATTTCTCCCTTCCCTTCAAAGCCAATCTCTTGAAAGAGTAGCTACACCTGCTGTCACCACGTCCTCATCTCCCACTTGCTTCTCAATTCACTTCACTCTGGCTTCTTCTCCCACTACTCCACTGGGACCGTGCTCACCAAAGCCACCGACGAGTTTTTCAGTGAATCCAGTGGAACCTTCTGTATCCTGACCCGGCTTGACCACTTAGCAGCCATTGGCACAGCTGACTTCTCCCTCTACCTGGTTTCTCTCCACCTCTTGGCCACTGCTCTTTTACCCCATAAACTCTTTCTCTCTGCCCACCCACTCAAGTTTCTGAAGGGCTCTTCCCAGATCCTCCACTCTCTTCATCCAATCTCCCTGGGCAATTCCGCCTATTCCTGTGGTTTAATTACTAAGTTATGATGAATACTTCAAATCCATATATCTCCAGCCCAACCTCTCTTTTGGCCTCAAGGCCAGTATATTCAACTTCCTTCTGTAAAACTCCACCTGGATGATACCAGACAGCATCTGAAACTCAACGAGACTTATCACTCCACACCCCCGTGAGGTCCTGTCCCAGTGATTGGCAACCCTCTCTGACTCCTCCCTCTCTCTCTCTCACTCAACCATCACCTAATCCTCCAGGTTCTAACTTTTTTAACATTTATCTTAAATCTAGGCTTTTTTCTCTATTTCTGCTACTACTGCCTCAGTGAAGGCCTCAGTATCTTGCATTTGGATCAACAATAACAGCTGATATTCACTGAGGGCTTACTATGTACCAAGGCCTCTGGGTGATGCAAACAGTTTGTGTTTGTCTACTAACCTAAAGGTTGGCAGTTGGAACCCACCCAGCGGTGCTGCAAAAGAAAGGCCTAGTGATCTGCTTCTGTTAAGATTGCAGTGAAGAAAATCCTATGGAGCAGTTCTATTCTGTAACATGTGGGGTCTCCGTGGGTCGGAATCGACTCTATGGAACAGATTTTTCCCCCCATTTTTACTGTGTACCAGGCACTGTTTGTTCTAAGCTCTTTCCCTGTAGGTGCTACTATCATCCTCATTTTACAGATGAGGAAACTGAGGCCCTGAGAGGATTACTGCAACAACCTTCTGATTGGTATCCTACCCTTTAGTCTCATCCTCTTCTATCCATTTTGTTCCATGACAACATAAATAGCTTCCTAAAACACCCCTTTAATCAAGTTCCTCTCTTCCCTAAAGCCCTCACTGGCTTCCTCTTGTCCTTTGGATAAAGATAAAATTCTATTAATGCAGATTTCTAAGGCCCTGCATGCTCTGGCCCCTGTCTATCTGTCTGGCCTAATCTCCTGCTAATCCTTAACAAGCACCCTTTGCTCCAGCCACCCTGAATTACTTGTGTAATGAAGTGGAGAATTTGATTCACTAGAAATGCCTCACAAGAATGTTTGGAAGAAAAACAGAGTGAGGGAAGAACCACACATCCCAGGGAGCTCTTGACACTTTCCTCTGCTGGACGTGAGAGAGGATGGGGGTGGATGAAAACTCCAGGTCCTCCAGTGGTCTCAGAGTGGCCCAACATGGCCAGCAAGCCTGGTGGCCCTTTCAGGCTGGGATGGGAGCCTGCATGCTATGTGTAGGGGACAGGGGGAGAGAACAGGGCAAAGGAGGGGTGGGAGGGATGAGGAGGAGTATGCCAGTGGATGTCTAGAGGAGACTTCTGGTAATTTGTGGTACGCTGTGTAAAGTCCCCCTTAAGAAAATCTAAAGTAAAGACCCTTTGTCCACGTACATTCATTTGCCCCCTTTATCTGTAGTAATAGCTCATTTCCCAGGTGACTCTGTAGCTGGATGGGGCCACGTGGTTCTTGACAATGGAACGTGAGGGGTGGAAGAGATGTATGCTACTTCCACCTCATTTGTTTAAGAGGGAATCCCTGGTCTGGACCTACGTGTTTTCTGTCTTCCTGTTGGCTGGAATGGTGACAACTAGAGCAACTCTGTAAGCCATGTGTTGAAGATGGCAGTTCTTTGGGGCAGATATCAGTCTGGGTCCTGAAATGACCCTGTAGAGCAGAGCCTCCCACCAGCCTGAAATGCTCACCTTGGAGCTGTAACACAAGATATTCAATATTCTTTAAGCCCCTGCTATATTCTTTGAGCCACTGCATTATTGTTGGCTCTTTTGTTGTGTCATCCTATCTTATCCTAATACATCCCACAAGAAGCTGCAAATGGAAATTTGATTATTATCCCAAACTTCATGGATACTTAGTGCCTTAAGAAACTAGAGTCTGTCTGGATCATGAGAGGGCCAATGTCAGACCCGGTTTGATTGTTTAAGGCCACTGCCTACTCCACCATTTGAAACTAGATCCACTGAGTTTTGTTTATACCACGGGACTCATGTGATCATGTAGGCTTTGGCATAAGCATCACAAACCCGTTTCTACCAGAAGATTGAGCAATTTACAGGAATGTCATTCCTGAGGTGGATTTTGAGTTATGTTTAGAACAAATGACTTGACACCTTGATGAATCATCTAGTCTTATGCTATAGGTTTTCTTAACAGAGCTGAAGAAAGCTTGTAATTACGTAGGCTTTCGAATAAGCGCCACAAACCAGTTTCTACTAGAAGATTGAGAAATTTACAGGAATACCATTCCTGGAATGGACTTTGAGTCAAGTTTAGAACAAGCCAAAACCCTTACAATAACTGGTTTACAAGGTCCTGCGCCCATCTTTACCCCCATTACTTCTCTCCTCTCATCTGCTACTACTCTCTCCCTTGCACACTCCACTCTAGTTGCACTGGTCTCTTTGCTGTTCTGTTTAAGGAATAGCAAGTTCCGTCAAGTTGATTTTTGATTCGTACTGACCCCATGTAACAGAGTCGAACTGCCTCATCGAGTTTTCTAGGCTGTAATCTTTATGGGAGCAGATCACCAGGTCTTTCTCCCATGAGTTTGAACCGCCAACCTTTCAGCGATTCTACAAAATCTTCGCGTTATTTCGTTCCTCTTTGGTTTTGCACTTGTTGTGATACCATTATTCTAGTAATGTTACCAGTCCTCCAAAACTCACATCACGATGATCTTTTCTGAGTGCCAGGAACATCTTTCCTCGGTGTCTGGCACAAATAGGTAATCAATAAATATTTGTGAAACAGATAAATGACTGAGAAGCACTTCTAGACTTGCAGTTTGGTTAAGCTGCCCCTCATTTCTCTTTCTATATCCAGCATCCTGTTCTTACCTCCAGGAGGGCACAAGTTGCACAGCATTTTAGCTGCTTATTTACTTGTTTACATCTCCCATATTCTGTAACCTCTGAGATGGGCAGAGACCATTTCATTTGACTTTTTATCCCTAGCAAGTAGCCAAGTCATTCGTACGTGGTAAATATTAATGTTTGCTCAGTGGATAATTAATGAGTGAACAGGGCTGGGTTATTATACCTACTTTACTGATGAAGCCCAGAGAAGGAAAGGTGACTTGCTGGTTGGAGGAGCCAAACAGCCACTCAGCATCCTGGTGTTTCTATCTGGCCCTTTATATGGCCTTGGCCGACCTCTTCCACATCCAGCTTTTGGCAGCTCCACATAGAATTCCTGCTTCTAGTATCCTAGTCTAATGTTCTTGGTCTCTTTTTCACTCTCTTGGAGTATTCACTGGTTCAGGGAAGGATGGAAGCTTACTACCTGTCTTTCTGCACAGGCTGAGGCACCAGGAAGGGGGTAGGGGAGACAGAGAAGGGCTATTATGCTCAGGAGCAAGCTTTGTAAATAATGCTATCGTAACTTTATGAAGTAGGCACTAGTATTTCCCCATTTTACAGATGAAGAACCTGAGGCTTGGAGTTTACGTAACTTGCCCAAGCATATCTTGGTCCATTTCAGGGCAGGGGTACAAACCCAGGTCTGCTGGCCCCCCCAGCTGGTGCTCTTGACCACAGCTTCCTGATGACTCATTGTGCACTTGGCTCTGAGCCCTGAGCTGGCAGACGGAGGGCTCAGCACACGACAGCTATTACCGTGAACCGTGTAAGACAGCACAGGCTAGGATGGGCTGGGATCATGGTCAAGGGGGGCGTCCAAGCCTGGAGCCAAGAGGTCAGTCTAATATCAGGTCCAAATGGT